CCCATTTTTTTTTTTTAACTGTGGGACACATGTATGGTAAAAACATCATTGTAGAATTAGTACACACACGCACACGCACACGCACGCGCATGCACACACACACACACACACACACACACACACACACACACACACACACACACACACACACACACACACACTGCCATTTACAGTTAACAAAAGTCCAATGTTGTATTACAATGGGTGTGGTCAGCAGTGTTAAAGGCTTAAATGCTTCTTCCAATAGAGGTCACTGCAACAGATTGCAATAATATGCTGTCGAAAGACAAACTTAAAAACACATGGAGATGTGCCTTTAAGTTTTTTTCTGCCTTCAACGGTCGGTCGTCAAAACATTTACACGGAATTCATGTTTTCTTTCAGAACGTACTCCAAAGTGTAGATATTGGAACAAATTCAGTTTAATGGAAAAAATGTTATTATTATCTTTTTCTACTGAAGCCGACAAAATACCTTGTATCTCTTTTTTATAGATAAGTGTTTACTGATATGCCACTGTGTCACATCCACAAGTGTGTATCAGGAAGGGTGTGTGCTCCCTCTTGTGTTCATTGTCGGCTATTGTTGAGAAAAGCTTTACAATATAATAATGATAATACTTTAATAGATATATAACGTTTTTTAGGGTTATTGTCCCATTTATATTCAACCCTTATGAGTTCAGTTAGGAATGATATCCTTGATTCAATGGGTAAACATTTTTTTACTAGTGACACAGTGCTGCCCAGATATTCCAGATGTCTCTTAGAGTCGTTGATGATAAACAGGATAATGAATCATGATGGTTGTGGTTAATTGCAATCGAAGAACTTTTTTACAAATCCTCTGAGAATCCATGTTTCACAGGATCTGTAAATTGAAAACTGAGGTAACAGAAAAAGTAAGAACCTTCAACTAACCACATCTACAGTAATAGATTGTGTATGCATCAATGTCATCGCTAATTTGTGTGACAAGTAAACTCTTCATAACATAATATTAATTTCTCAATACTTCTGTGCACTCACTAAATATAGATTCATCCCTTGTCACAATGTGTCACTGTTCTGTTAATTTCAGCCACACACAGTAAGTGGTACTATTTCACATTATGGTAATGCTGCTCTATGGAAATATCGTGTCATTCATGCAAAAGCAGAACCAGTTTGTCATATTAGGATTTGCAATTATAAACATTTTACAATACTTGGTGTTAGACAGTGACTGTTGGATCTGATTAAAAGTTGTGTACTGAAGGCCCGGAGGGACTCTGGATCTTGACGATTGAACTTTTTTTTCTCAGTAACACTTTCAGAGTGAAGAGGTCGCCAAAGAAATCCTCATCTGACCCATCCGAGGTGTGTACCTGATTCTTTATTTCTTTATGTACACTTGGCTCTCTCACTGTCTGGCTAAATGTTTTCCTTCTCCCATCTCACTGCTACCTCCTCGGTGTTGCAGGATCCTACACCAGATGAAACTCCCTCCCTCCACCCACAGGACGACCACGCCACAGATGAGGAGAAGCTGGCTTCCTCCACTAGTCATAAGTGGGCATCCCTACACAACGTGGATGCAGATTTGAATTCTGAACAGCAAGACTTCCCTCAGCCGAGCGACCTTTCGTCCTTTGTTAATGAGAACAGTCTTCCTGATCAGACTCCAGGTGAGGCTTAGCTGTCTGACTCTCTCGGATCTCTTTTTGTATCTCCAGCCACCTGCGTCCTGATAAATGCTGACATAGATCAAAGCAGACTGCAGATAGGTGGTGCTCAAAATATATTAAAAGCTAAAACCATCATTTACAGTACAGCCACCTGCAACTTTCCTCTACATTAATTTAGCTACATTATTGATTTTTGTTCTGGCGGTGAAATAATATGGCGGAGTTCTCTACTGCCCTCTGTCCTCCAAAAGAGCCACCTCTTCCCTAAGGCTCTGTGGCGCAACCAATCTAGGTCAGAGAGGATATAATGAACAAACAGCCCTGCCTCAGCTTCTAAACCCATCAATCCAGAGCTCAACACTGGCTAGATATGTCTCTCCATTTCTTCCTCTGACTCTAAAACTTATTTTTGTCTTTCTGCATCAGTGCAAGACTATGAGATTGAGTATATGGAGAAGCTTGGCTCCGCTTCGCCTGTGAGTATTCTGTGTTATTTAAATAATTGTATGAAATATTTGCTGCTTTCTTTCTTTATACTTGTACTTTCTTTCTAAGTTGTAAAATGTGTACCTATATTTAAAAAAGTGTCTGCTTTATTTGCTTGTGTTTCATATAGCCACTGTCTGTGAAGAAGCCATCTTTGTACCTGAAGTTAGACTCCGTTTCTGACAACTTACCCAAGAAAAAGTGTGCAAATGGATCTGAACCCAGCTCCCCCTGCACTGGGTAAACACAACCTACTCATGTTTTATTTTTGTAATATGTGTTGTAATTTGGCGGAAATGTCTACATTGTATGTTCACTTTATAGTGTAGGAAGTTTTACAGTGCAATGTTCAGTGCTTCACTTGTACAGTAGACTATGCATTGGGCTAACTAGAAATCAGAATGATTAAGATTGCATAATGCATACAGCTGCTTCAGCTCCGTTTTTCATTAACACTCTCATCCATCATATACAGTAAATCACATGCCATGTCTCTCCCCTCTGGTTCTCCCTGTGAGCAGCAGTTTTGAGGAGATGGAGGCCCAGATAACAGCGGGTATGAAGACACCGGTGCTGAGCTCCCGGCCTGGTCCCGAGGGCTCTGCTGGGGAAAAGGGCAGAAAGAGAGAGAACAAGGCGCTCAGCCGAACACTGAGCACAGAGAGGGATGAGCAGGTGAGCCGATCACTATTGTAAATATTCAAAACTCAGCGATCAGTTATCACACATGTTGTCATTTCTATGTCTTGTCCTCATCATGTTGGGACAGTTATGATTTTGTCACATTTATACCATGTCAATGTTTAGTCACATGGGGCAGAGATTGCAATAGGCTGTATTTCAGGCCTTGAATTAGCCCTCCAACATCAGTCATAGTGATTCTCATTAAAGCCCTGTCACTGTTAATAACACATAGCCAGTTCCCCTACTGTAGCTTCCCAGCTTGAACTCAGTGACTCAGCTCCCAATGCTGCCACTCAAAAACTCAGCGCTTTGCTTTGCCATGCTGACCCCTACCCTCCTCCCCCACTCCTCCCGGTGCCCCTGTAGCCCCTTAGCCTGGGCCCTGTGGAGGCCCCTGCTCCTGTCCTGCCCATGCCCCTGTTAGACAGGCTGTCTGAGTGTGACGACCTCCTGCAGTACCTGGAGCCCGACCTGGCTGAGACCAACCCGACAGCATTCGCTCAAAAACTACAGGTGTGTTGACAGACCACTGATGACCCCTCTTATGTTAATGGGTTGCCTCTGGTGGGCCCCCTCCATCCTGATTGTGTGTTGTTTTCACGTTACTCCCATTGTTTCACCTCACTACATCCAGCCTTTTCATTTTCCCATAGATTGATGGTGTGTGAAATGTAGACTGCAAGTGTGTGCGCTCAACTCAAGTGTCTGTATGTTTTCCCTTTGCTCTCTCATCCTGGGGCCGCAACCCCCCTCCCTTACCCCCCAAAAAAATACCAATACCCCTCTCCCCACTCCCCATGTCTGCGGCCCAGGAGGAACTGGTGCTTGCTGCCCTGAGGATAGAGGCTCTGCAGATAGCCAAAAACATCTCACAGTGCCCCTCCCTCTCCACTGTAAACCCCCAGGTACTGCGCTGAGTGCTGCACCTGATGTATGCAAAGGGTGTGTGTGTGTGTGTGTGTGTGTGTGTGTAAAAGGAAAGAGCATCCTGAATGAGTTATTACGTACATGCAGGTGTGTGTGAGATGCACGTGTGCCTGGCTGTAGTGTGCGTGCATGAGTGTGTCTCAGCCTGCCTTTTCCCCTCCCCTTAAACACACCATTCTGAGTGTGAGTGTGATCCCATGGCCTTATCAACATTGTAGTTGCACAGCTACGTATGCAGTCCTCCTCAATCCCCACTTATGGAATCTCTAACATGGCTTTACGCATCCAGCTCCCCCCCCCCCC